CAGTTAATACTGCAAAACAAAAGGCTCAGGCCAGGTGAGGTGGCTCATGCCTGTAATCCCAGCACTTTGGGAGGCCGAGGTGGGTGGATCACCTGAGGTTGGCAGCTCAAGACCAGCCTGATCAACATGGGGAAACCCCATCTCTACTAAAAATTCAAAATTAGCCGGGTGTGGTAGCACATGCCTATAATCCCAGCTACTCAGGAGGCTGAGGAAGGAGAATGGCTTGAACCTGGATGGTGGAGGTTGCAGTGAGCTGAGATCATGCCATTGCACCCCAGCCTGGGCAACAAGAGTGAAACTCCATCTCAAAAAAAAAAAAAAAAAAATGCTGAAAGAACATGAAAGGGCCTGTCCAAAGTTGGGAGCAACTCATACAAACATTCCAAGTTTGCCGAGTTTGGTACATATCAGTGGGAAAGGGCATCATGACTTTCTGGTCCACACTGGGATCATTACAATGTTCTGAGATAGAAACAAACCACAGTGCTTATCACAGCAAATCTAATAAGAAGAATGGCCTTATTTTACATTTTTAAAATCTTTTTAACGTCTGGGTTAAGGAAAAGAGCTGTATTCTCCTATCTACTTCTGCCTCCAGTCAGTTGCACATTATGTAGCCTTCAGAAAACTTAATTGTACATTCATAAGATAATGAGGGTGGAAATTCTAGTATTGTTATGAAAATTGTTTTAACTTCCTCAGTCCCTGAAAGGGTTTTGGGGGGCCCCTAGATCACTCTTTAAGACATTGTTTTAAAAAATATGTATACTAAGGGCCATAACTTTGATCAGTATTCAGAAGAGATTCTCAGGTAAGGGAAAGGCATAAAAAAGATGGAGAAAAAGAGAAAAACATCACTGACTACATGCAACCACACTTACAGGAAGGCCAAGACATTTTGTTAGCGTACTTGTTACTTTAACTGTCGCTTACTCTGTACTTCACCATATTTTAACAAGAAATGAATTGATATTTCAAGAGAAAAAAAGCCAGACCCCAGAACAAAAACCACATACTACAATTCCTCCTAGTTCCTATATAAATGTCAATTGTTAATGCGAATTTACTCTTTAGGCCATCACATTCTAATTATAAGACCCATAAGTCACTTTTCTCCTGGCTTTCCTTCTCTTGTACAACTTTCTGATGACTGTCACTCAAATAATATTTAGCAGGACAAAAGAGAAATTTCCAATTATCAATCAGTTCCAAACTGCTGCAGAGCTCAGTCTTTCTGTCTGCATGCTTCCATGAATAGCGGCTAAATGGAAATGGACAAATCAACTCTAATCCTTTCTAAACATACATTGTTCTTTAGCTAGTTAGGTGATTTCTGTCTACTATAAATGATTATCATGAAGCAAAATAGCTATATTCACGTGAGCATGGTCAAGAAAAATAATTATTTATGAATAATCATCTCATGTCATCATTTTTCCCATACTTAAGAAGATACATGATTTCAAATTTTCCTTCACACAGGCAAACCAAAAAAAATAGTTACAGTGACTTTTTCAGGAGATACTTGTTTTTTATGTCTTATTTAAATTCTCACTACCCTAGTAAACCTTCTAAGAGTCATTAACTAGGCCAGCACTCCCCTGGTCAATAACATAGGCCTAGGTTTAAATCCTGAAGCTGCCGCTTGCAATGTGACTTTGGGAAATTACTTAATACGGCACCTCACTTTTCTCAGCTTTAAAATGAAGACAATAACAGTATCTGCCTCATAAGTGAACGACAGGATTAAATGAGATAATGAATAAATGAGCAAAGCATTCAAAACATTGCCTGACACACAATACATACTAGTAAATGTTAACTTCTGTTTTTATTTATTTATTTATTTAAATGTTTTTTGAGATGGAGTCTCACTCTGTCACCCAGGCTGGTGTGCAGTGGCGCAGTTTCAGCTCACTGCAACCTCCGCCTCCAGAGTTCAAGTGATTCTCCTGCCTAGCCTCCTGAGTAGCTGGGATTACAGGCACATGCTACCACGCCCAGCTAATTTTTATATTTTTAGTAGAGATGGGGTTTCACCATGTTGGTCAGGCTGGTCCGGAACTCCTAACCCTCATGATCCACCCGCCTCAGCCTCTGGAAGTGCTGGGATTACAGGCATGAGCCACCACGCCCGGCCTGTTTCTATTATTTTTTTCTTTTTAAAAAATTTTTAACACTGAGATAACAGGAAACAATAAAAATAGATGACTGTTTCTAAGTGCCCTTCCTTTTTAAAGTAGTTGTTTATACCACCTAAGAAAGTGCTGACAAGCCATAAAAACAGTATCAAAGATACATTCAAAACTACTATGATTCTAGCCCAGGTACAGTGGTGAGCACCTATAGTCCCAGCTACTCATGAGGCTCAGGCAGGTGGATCACTTGAGTCCAGGAGTCAAAGCCCAGCCTAGGTAATATAGCAAGACTCTGTCTCTTTAAATTAAATAAAAAATAAAATAACTACTATAATCCTGTGTGCAAAAATTAAAAACACCTCAAGCTGGGTACAGTGGCTCATGCCTGTAATCCCAGCACTTTGGGAGGCTGAGGCGGATGGATCACTTGAGGCCAGGAGTTCAAGACCCACCTGGCCAACATAGCAAGATCCCATCTCTACTAAAAATACAAAAATTAGCTGGGCATGGTGGCACACACCTGTAATCCCAGCTAGCTGGGAGGTTGAGGCACAAGAATTGCTTAAACTTGGGAGGTGGAAGTTGCAGCGAGCCAAGACTGCACCACTGCCCTCCAGTCTGGGCAAAAGAGCAAGACTCTGTCTCAGAAAAAGAAAAGAAAAGATAAGAGAGGAGAGAATAGAAGAGAAAAAGAAAAGAAACTCAGGAAGACACGCCCTCCAAAATAGACTGACAGAATCACAACACAGCATTTGACATAGCTATCTAGAAACAAGAGAACTGTGTAACCTGCTTTGACAAGATACTTTTACAGGCAAGATGAACCTATGTTAGGCTGAAGATGGTTGTTTACTCATATATAACTATAAGCATCATATACACCATAAGATACACAGTAAAAGGTAAAGGTATAGAACTTCATTCTCATACATAGTCTAGCAGCATAGTCAGAGATGAAGCCAAAAAGAAAACTTTTCATGAAAAAAATTGAAAACCTTTTGCCACCACGGTTAACCTTATCTGAGATGGTTTTACTCTTGGAATGTATCAGAGAAAAATTCATGTGGTTGGTCCATAAAAATGCTAACTGGGATACATATGAGAATTATAGCTAACATTTACTGAACACTTACTTGGTTCCAGACATTATTTCAAGTTTTTTTTAATATGGATTAACTAATCAATTGCTATGAGATAGCATTTTATTGTCCTCACCTTATTTCCAAGGAATTGAGGCACAGAGATAACATGCACAAATGCCAAGTTAATAGTGACTGGTTAAAAACAGTGTGGCTCCAAATCCATGTTTTTTAACCTCTAGGCAAAGAAGGTGGCACAAATGCATGCCATATACTTAATAGATGCCGGGAGAAGGATAAGATTCAGGTAGCAGATTATAGTTATCTGTTATAAATTATTGATATCAGTGTATAAACTTGTATAATTAAAAAAACTTTTATATCTCATAAACTTAGTCAAATCTTTTATTGGGCTTTCTGTAAAATTCTTTTTTTTTGAGACAGAGTCTCACTCTTGTCGCCCAGGCCAGAGCACAGTGGAACAACTTCGGCTCACAGCAACCTCTGCCTCCTGGGTTCAAGCAATTCTCCTGCCTCAGCCTCCTGAGTAGCTGAGATTATAGGCATGTGCCACCACGCCTGGCAAATTTTGTATTTTTAGTACAGACAGGGTTTCTCCATGTTGGTCAGGCTGGTCTCAAACTCCTGATCTCAGGTGATCCACTCGCCTCAGCCTCCCAAAGTGTTGAAATCACAGGCGTGGGCCACCATACCCAGCCAGAATTCTATTTTTTTAAAAGAGGGTCTTGCTCTGTTGCCCACACTGGAGTGCAGTGAAATAATTATAGCTCATTGCAGCCTCAATCTTCTGGGCTCAAGTGATCCTCTCACCTTAGCCTCCCAAGTAGCTTGCCACAACACCTGGCTAATTTTGTTTTGTTTCATTTTTGTTTTTTGGGTTTTTTGTAGATCTGGGTTCTTGCTATGTTGCCCAGGCTGGTCTAGAATTCCTGGTCTCAGCCAGGTGCAGTGGCTCACGCCTGTAATCTCAGCCCTTTGGTAGGCAGATTCCAGCACAAGGCAGGCAGATCATTTGAGGTCAGGAGTTTGAGACCAGCCTGGCCAACATGGTAAAACCCAGTCTCTACAAAAATGCAAAAATTGGCCAGGCGTGGTGGCAGGTGCCTATAAGTCCCAACTAGTTAGATGGCTGAGGCAAGAGAATTGCTGCCACCCGGGAGGCAGAGGTTGCAGTGAGCTGAGATCACGATACAGCACTCCAGCCTGGGCAACAGAGCAAGACGCTGTCTCAAAAATCAATCAATTAATTAATTAATTAATTAAAGAATTCCTGGCCTCAAGCCGTCCTCCCACCTCAGCCTCCCAAAGTGGAATTCAATTTGATTACCACCAGACACACATTTTGTACTTGCTCAAATGAACAGAACACCCATGGTGAGACAAACATCACAGCAACTCACAGTATTTGGAGAAAAAGAAGGGGTAGATAATTACTCTTGACAGATTATGACAGCTATGATCTCTATCTTACCACCAATAAGTTTTAAGACTTATCCTAGACTTGTTTTAGTATGGTTGCTGGTCTCTAGGTACCATTTTAACTTAAAATATGCCTGTGTCCCCTCTTAGCTTAAGTTAATTCATGGTACTAAAAAACTCACAAGGTTAAGATGAAAGCAAGCAGTGAAAGTTCAGAACAGGGTAAGACAAACAGTGACTGACCAATTATCCTCATAGTATGCCAACCTCAGCCACACATAATACTAGTTCTATACAAAACTTTCATTAATAATGTTTTATTACAGTTTTTATTTCTTACCCATTAAACAAGTTTTTTCCATCTTCTTCCATATTATTCCACAGTCACTGGTTAGGTTTCCTCTATCACCTACAAGTGGGAAACAATCTGTAAGGCTGAGCTAATACATAGCAAAAAAAAAAGCAACTTCATGAATTATAATTACAAATTCAAAAAATGAGTACATTACATGCATTAAACTCCCTACAAGTCCTTAAAACTGATGTAAGAGTGAAAACAAAATGGCCGGGGGTGGTGGCTCACGCCTGTAATCCCAGCACTTTGGGAGGCTGAGGTGGGTGGATCACCTCAGGTCAAGAGTTCAAGACCAGTTTGGCCAACATGATGAAACCCCATCTCTACTAAAAATACAAAAAAAATTAGCCAGATATGGTGGCGGGCCCCTGTAATCCCAGCTACTCAGGAGGCTGAGGCAGGAGAATCACGTGAACCTGAGAGGCAGAGGTTGCAGGGAGCCAAGTTCCAGCCACTGCACTCCAGCCCAAGCCACAAGAGCAAAACTCCATCTAAAAAAACAAAAAAGTGAAAAAAACCGTGATCTTTTTCTTTAGCTAAGAGTGACCAAAGAGTCAGTCGCTTACGGGTAGAGTGATCTATAAATGGAAGTATTAAAAGTTTACTTGCTGAAAAAATGCACTTCTGCATTTGTTTTAGGTCTTAAAAATTACAAATTATGGGCCGGGCGTGGTGGCTCAAGCCTGTAATCCCAGCACTTTGGGAGGCCGAAGCGGGTGGATCACAAGGTCAAAAGATCAAGACCATCCTGGTCAACATGGTGAAACCCCGTTTCTACTAAAAATATAAAAAATTAGCTGGGCATGGTGGCGCGTGCCTGTAATCCCAGCTACTCAGGAGGCTGAGGCAGGAGAATTGCCTGAACCCAGGAGGCGGAGGTTGTGATGAGCCGAGATCGCGCCATTGCACTCCAGCCTGCATAACAAGAGCGAAACTCTGTCTCAAAAAAAAAAGAAAAAAAAAAAATTACAAATTATATTTTTCTGAAACTGTCAGAAAAAAACACACAAATTCATGGTAACAAAAATACTCAAGTATCGAAAGCTAAAACTATTTTTGCATAAGTGAAATATATAATAACACAAGATGACATGAGGTGACTCTTTTGTGCTAAGTGGGTTTATCATCTATATGTAAGCGGCATGCTTCTTTAAAAGCAGTGTATATTCTGTACATAAGGACATTATATTAGCCAAAGACATCTAGAGTTTATGATTTGGACAAATTACATGTATAAGCATGTTTAAGGTTTCTGACACTTTATTAGGAAGCAGGACTCAATAAAGCTTAAGATCAGCAAGCTGGGCCACCATTGTAAGAGGAAAGAAAATTCCCTATTGCGTCATCCTAACAGCTAACACAAGAATTCCTCTCGGAAGAAACTTTCTTTAAGAAAATAAGTTCCCATAATATGGGCCCCCATCACTCATGTCCAGTCCCCTTGGAGTGGGTGGCTGTCAAGATCCTAGAATGGTTATCAAGAAAGGGAAATTGGTCTGCATTAGACAGGAAAGAATTTGGTTTTATATCGCTGAAAGGAATGGGCAGAAGAATGAGGAGAAGAGGGAAAGAATAAGAAAAGAGTTAGTATAATGGAGCAAAGCTAGGATTAGGTGGAGGTGAAGCTCTTGGGTCAAGGGAGGTCTGAAAGATTTTAAGAACAGGAATATTTTACTAGGAAAGTTGTTTGCATTAATGCAAAGAAAGGATCACTCCAACTCTATTTTGCCCCCTTTCTTCAGGTAGGTACACGAAATCTGCAAATGCCCTGTGTGAATAGGGCCTTTCTGAAAATCAAAGAGGGAGCCAAGTTTCACATGTGGGTGCACTATGGTGTGAATCAGTGGTACGAGACAAGAAAGTAAGTCCCAGGAGGCAGAAAAGGTTACAAGATCATGAAATCCAGCAAATATACAAATATTTTTAGGGAGAGTTTACAACTTCTAGTTCTAGGTTGGGAGTTCTGAGGCAACCGTATCCATTAAAAGCTAAGCTGACACTTCGCATCCATAAAATGTCCCTCTTTCCTATCCAAATGACTCTACTTTCAATATAAGAACACCAAAACATTTTAAGTTAATTACATTTAAATCCAAGTTATTCTAATTAATTTGAGATGCTCCCCAAAAGCTGACTATAATAATCAGTTCTACACTAAGCAGCACCTAGGACATGTATACAACCATATGGAGTTTAAGTTTAAACCCCTAGGAAACAGTTATCTTAAAAAATGTGAAGAGGAACAACTTCAATAATTATGATGCTGATCTTGAAAACCAGGAAATTAGGCTGGGCCTGCTGGCTCACTCCTGTAATCCCAGCACTTTGGGAGACCGAGGTGGGCAGACCACGAGGGCAGGAATTCAAAACCAGCCTGGCCAACACAGTTATATCCCCTCTCTACTAAAAATACAAAATTAGCTGGGTGTGATGGTGCATGCCTGTAATCCCAGCTACTCGAGAGGCTAAGGCAGGAGAATCGCTTGAACCTGGGAAGCCAAGGTTGCAGTGAGCTGAGATCAAGCCACTGCACTCCAGCCTGGGCAACAGAGCAAGACTCCGTCTCAAAACAAAAAAGAAAGAAAGAAAACTGGGAAATTAAAATAAATCAGCTCAATGCTGAAAACTATTAATAAGATCCCATACATTCAAATATGTTCTATATCTGTATCATTTACACTACCTCAATATACTTTTAAATGGGTGGGAAGTGAAATTACAGATATATAAAACAAATCACTACAGTAGAAACTAAAAATGTGGATGACATCCCTTTAAATGGTCATTAGAAAGGAAGTTCCTGGCTAGACGCAGTGGCTCATGCCTGTAATACCAGGACTTTGGGAGGTCAAGGCAGGCAGATCACAAGGTCAGGAGATCAAGACCAGCCTGGCCAACATGGTAAAATCCCGTCTCTACTAAAGATACAAAATATTAGCTGGGAATGGTGGCACGCACCTGTAGTCCCAGCTACTCAAGAGGCTGAAGCAGGAGATCACTCGAACCCAGGAGGCAGAGGTTGCAGTGAGCCGAGATAGAGCCACTGTACTCCAGCCTAGGCAACAGAGTGAGACTCCATCTTAAATAAACAAATGAATAAATAAATGAAGTTCCCAAAGTCAGGAGGGCATACTCCAAGCTTACCTATTAGTGAAACATGCTGAACTCTCAGGGGCTGTCTGGCTCATGCAAGAAAAGAGCACATGATGTGGAGTAACAGAAACCAGTTATCATCATGGTGTCCATTTATTACAAGACCTTCCTTAACTTCTCTGAGCCTGTTTTCTAATCTACTTCACAGCACTTGTGTAAGGATTTATGAGAACCAATTAAATGAGAACCAATTAAAATACCAGTGCATTGCCCGGCACATAGCTGATGATCAACAAATACTTAATTTCCTTCCTTTGTCTTTCTACCTTTAGTTTAGAGCAATTTCCAGGGCTTAAAAAGAAGAAAATCCATTCTTGAAACCTTACTCAATTTACTTGTATTCTGCCAAATAATAACAAAGATGATAAGGGTGATGGCTATGATGATAGCCATTAACACTGATAACAGCATTTAATGTGTGCCAGAAATGCAGTTAACTGCTGTTACATATACTAATAAATTCAGTCCTCACAACAACTGTGAGGTAGATATTTTTATTCCAATTTTACAGATGAGGAAACCATGGCATACATAAGTTCCACAGCTAATAAGTGGCAAAGCAAGGGTACAAACCCAGGTTTCTGCTCTCCGAAAATATACCAGACTGGGAGCACTGGCTTACACCTGTGATCCCAGCACTTTGGGAGGCTAAGACAGGAGGATTACTTGAGCTCAGGAGTTTGAGACCAGCCTAGGCAACATAGGGATCTACAAAAAATAATTTGCTGTGTGTGTTGGCACAAGTCTGTAGTCCCAGCTACTTAGGAGGCTAAGACAGGAAGATCACTTGAGGTCAAGGCTGCAGTGAGCCATGTGTGACTATACCACTGCACTCTAGCCCAAGTGACAGAGTGACACTTTGTCTCAAGAATAAATAAATAAATAAATATTAATACCAAAAACTAACTTCTAGGTTAAGTCACAGCAGCAATGCCCTATCTTTGATAGCTCTCTAATATTAATGTAGTAAGGTAGGTAATGTTCAGATGACTTACCAAATAGATCTGTTATCTTAATAATACATATAAATATATTATCTATATATTTTTAAAGATATAGTTATATATTTTAAAATATATTTTATGATATAGTTATATACTTTAAGACATATTTCATATATCAAAATATTTTAATGTATATTTTATATTTTTTAAAGTTTAAAAAGTAGACCAAGAGAATATTAACATATTTAAATCAGTAAATAAATTTAACCAAGATTACATCTTTTTCAGCAAGCTCAATAACGTGGCACATTCCAAAATATAAATATTTATTAATCTATGCTGCATCTTGTCTGTAACTGCCTTCCCCTGTAAGCTCCTGGAGGACAGAAATAGCATTGCCTTACTTATTGTGACAGTAAGTAGTATCTTTGTTGTCTGAAAAAGCACCTTGTCCTTAGCAGGTGCTTCAATAAATAATGATGAAAGAATGAAGAGGCTGGATATGAAACACAGACAAAGTTCAAGACTGCCTATTAATTTCCCTTTACATTCTAAAGCACTAGCACACTACACTTATTTTCTACCACCCATCCACTCCATGATTTTACTATCAGCAAGGCCTTGCTGGATTTGTGTCTTCCTTAATCCAGTCACATTTTTAACCTATCCAAATCTATTTCAATCTATAAGCTCACATAGCAAAATGTCTTAGGATAAAAAGTCTCAAATATACAATTAGAAGATTCATGAATGAAAGCAAAACCTATTGTTATGTGACTTTATGTTTTTCAAAGTGCTTCTACACATATCCCCTCAGTGCCTCAAGATAGCTGTGAGAGTAGGCAAGGCAGTCATAAAAATCTAGGAAGCTGCATCTAATGCTGTTTTGGAGTGGAAACAGAGCCTCATCGTTACTGCCAATGAATTAATGGCTCAAAACCCGAGTTAGTTATTTTC